GCAATGGAAACAAGGAAAACAATAATGGATAACAGAACATTTACTTTTCTAAACAGAGATTCCAGAAAAGAACAAAACAGAAACCCTGGAAATGCAAATCTTATTTAATCAAAAAACAAAGCAGAACAAAACAAAAACTCAGTTGGAAGTCTCAAAGTAGAGTTGATGAAACAGAAAAATGCATATCAGGGCTTGAAGACAGGTGAATTCAAACAATGATAAAAAGAAAAAGAGTCAAAGAACAGAACAGTTACAGGTCTTGGTCAACACTAAAAGACCAAAAGAATCACTGGCCTTAAGGAGGGTGAAGAATACAGGCCAATGGCATAGGAAAATAAATTATTTAGTGGCATTATATTAGAATATTTCCCAACATCTGGGGAATGGGATAGATATCCAGGTACTAGAGGCACTTAGAATACCAAATAAATATGACCAGAAAATAATCCTGCAAGATATGTCATAATCAGTTGCCAAAGTTCAGAACGAAGAACATTAAAAGTGCCACATCACTTTTTACAGCAAATCCATCAGAATAACAGCAAATTTATCAAATGAAACTTTATAGTCCTGAATGGGTTGGAAAGATGTATTTTAAGCCCTGAAAGAAAATATTTGCCAATTTAGATTAGTAGAAACTGTAAGCCTATCCTTCATATTTAAAGGGGAAATAAGACTTCCAAAATAAGCATAAAGAAATTTATGACTATTAAGTCAGCATTGCAGAAGATACTTAAAGGAATCCTAAATACAGAAGACATACTCATGAGTATACAGGAAAGAATAAATTTCATTAGAAGTATAGAGGTATGAAAATCAGAAATAAGCCAAACAGTAGAAAAACAACAAATGATGGGAATTAGTACATAGCTTTCAGTAATAACACTTCACATAAGTAGTTTTAATTTTTCAATGAAATGGCATAGTCTGACAGATTGGATATGGAAACAAGACCCAACTTATGTTGCCTGCCAGAAACACATTTTACGTGCAAAGATGTACACAGATCAAAATTGAAAGGATGGAAAATAATACTCTAAATAACCAGAGCTCTAAAGAAAACAAGTGTTGCTATACTATACTATATATACTATATATTCAGCAAACAAAGATTTTTAGCTAGGAGAGACAAAGAACCACTACCTATTGACAAAGAGAAAAATTCATCAAGAAGAGAAAACAATTATAAATATATATGCACTGAACATTGGACCCAGTATCATAAAACACACTGCTTGACATAAGTGAACAGATAGACTTCAATACAATCCCTATGGGTAGCTTCAATACTTCATTCTTGCAAAACGAGGTCAATAAGCTCCTCCCAAATCAACAAATAAACATAAACAAACTTTACGAACATCTAGAGTGCTCCTTTCCAACAGCAGCAAAATACACATTCTTTTCAGCAGCTCACAAATCTTTCTCCAAAATAGTCTATATTTTAGGTCAAAAAGTAAATCTTAAGAAAATACAAAAAACTTAAATAATCTCATGCATCCTATCAGATCATAGTGGAGAAACTAGAAATCAACAGCAAAAGAAACCACAGAAACTATACAAACACTTCTGACTGGTCAGTGGCTCATTAAAGAAATAAGGGAGGGGCAATTAAAAAATTCATAGGACCAACAATAATGGAAACAACCCATGAGAATGTGTGGGGAACAATGAAATAATTCTAGGAGGGAAATTGATAGCTATGAGTGCTTACATTAGAAAAGCAGAGTAGCTGGGGATTTAGCTCAGCGGCATAAATGCCTTTCCTAGCAAGCACAAGGTCATGAATTCGATCCCCAGTACAAAAAAAAAGCAGAGTGGTTCTAAATAACATAATGATTCATTGATAGAACCTAGAAAAAAAAAAAAAGAACAAATCAAACCCAGAACCAGTAGAAGGAAAGAAATAATGAAGACTAGAATAGAAGTTAATGAGCCAGGTGTGGTGGTGCACATCTGTAATCCCAGCACTCAGGCTGAGGCAGGAGGATCCCAGCAAGTTTGAGGCCAGCTTAGGCTGAAAAGTAAGTTAAACGCCAGATAGAACTGCGTTGCAAAAACCCTGTCCAAAAACAAAACACTATAAATAAATAAAATAAATACAAATAAAATACAAAGAATCAATGAATCGAGGAGTTGGTTCTTTAAAAGATACACAAAACTGACAAACTCTTAGCCAAACTAATCAAAAGAGAGAAAAGATTCAAATTAACAAAGCTAGAGATGAAAAGGCAAAAGTACAGCTAATGTTCCAATAAACTAATGTTTCAGTGCATTGGAACCTTTAGTAGGATGTCTTATAAGCAGTGTTTAATGGATGCTTTTTCTATTTATTTAAATAGTACTTACTGTGTATTTGACTAGATACTTTGGCTAAAGCAGCAAATATAGCAAAATCACACAGAAGTTGTTTTGTGGTAGGCGATCCAGCTAAAAAATGAGTGCATATGTAACTCGTTAGGTGGTAATGATGTGAACAAAATTAATGTTATGTACACAGCAGGCAATCTGTACTCTGGAGGAAGCTCTGCATATCTGCATTGCATCTGAAGTTTCTGTCCCCTCCAGGGATGAGACTGAAAATAACCAGCATTCCCTCTGCCCTTACCCTGTCAGCTTCCATCAGCTGGGCTGGGAGCACTGGACAACTGCTCTCCCTCGCTGTCCCCCTAGTCACTGTATGGGAACTTGTCCTGGAGTACCACTGTATGGTTTAATTCCCCAGTCATGCCACCACCAGAACCATGTCAACAAGGTGGTGAACCAGAGCATTTCCCAGCTTCCTGTATCCCTTATAAGCATATTGGCACACATGGTTTTCTTATTGAGGCAAATGGGAGTATTTTGTACTACGAACAGGAAGATATGTTTGCACAGTCCTGCATATATAGCTGTGAACAAAGATACAGCCCACTCAGGTTTCTCAAGAAATTGGAAAGAGGTTTAGAAGAGATAAATATCCATGTTAAAGCTGAAAAAAAGAAAAGGTTAGTTCAGAGACAGGAAAGGTCTCTCTGATAAGATGACATTGGACTTCAGCCTAAATTAAGTACAAAAGCCATGTAGCTATGAAGGTGAACAAGATTCTTAGCATAGAGAAGAGTAGATGGATTTTACTGAGTGAGATAGGAAGCCAAATGAGAGTTTTAAGCAGAGGAATAATCTGATTTCACATATATTTTTAAAGGGTGGACTGTAATCTAGTGGGGGATAGAGTTGCAGGGCTGGTAGCAGAGACCATAGAAGACCCTCTATCTTGTGTGGGTTAGAGAGGAGAAAAGGTGTCCAGTTTCAGATACACTTTTATGTACAACCAGCACAGTTCACCAGTGGATTGGCTGCAGGGTGTAAAGGAGGAGGACTCAAGGGTCAGGTCAAAATTTGTGATTTGAAAGAAAAGAAAAAAAATCACTACCTGCTAGATAATGATGGGAAGAGGAAGACAGAGGTAAAAGTAAAAGATCAAGATGCAGCCTTGGATGTGTAAGTTTGAGATGCCCAATGTCATGTAAGGTAAGGTACCAGGGAAGCAGCTGGACATGGGAGCAGAGAGTTCAGGTGCGGGGATCACCATGGCTTCAGAGCAAGGAGTGAAGATAAACAGAGCCCAGGTTTGCAAACACTGAACTCCAAGATGCTTTGTGATTTAGGAATCATGGAAAAGAGACTGAGGAGAAATAGTTACTGGAGTCGGAGAAAGACTGGAAAAGATGTCTCCTCGGAAACAACAGACTGTCTCGGAAATATACAACCAAGAAAAACTACTGTTAATTGAAGGCTTACCACCTGCTAAACATTTTTCTAAGCATCTTGGGTACAATTCCTTAATTAAATTACAAAGGAGTCTTACAATATAGATTAGAAAACAGACTTAGAGAGGTTAAGCAACTTGTTTCAGGACTTGAATATAGTATCATCTAAGTCTATTATATTTCTAAATTTTTTTGTTAGTACGTGTTTGCAGCATATTACTAACATAGCATGTGTTTACATTTCTTGTGTGGAGTTGGTGCACATACACAACACATCGTAATTCCTTTTATCATACTCTTTTCCTCTCCTCTCTCCTTCCTCCCTTTGTCTCTTGATTCTCCTCCCATTTGAAAACGATCTATCTCCCAATTTCCTATTATCTAACTTTTGTTTTGCTCTTTATTTATAATTTCAATATCTCATATGAGAAAGCAATATGATATTTAAGCTTGTTTATCTGATTAATTTCACTTGACAGAATGGTCTTATGGTCTTTTTCCCACAAATAAATCTACTACACTTCTTTAAACGTTGACTATGTCTGTCTAAAAGACATGTTAACGTTCTGGTTCCCAGGAACACTTCAGAGTATGAATTTGTTTGAAAATAGGGTCATCACACACATAGTTGATTAAAATGAAGCCTACTAGAGTAGGGTTGGCTCCTAACCTATCCCAATATGACTGGTGCCCTTATGACAGATGACCAAGTGGGCTCAGAGGCACATAAGAAGAAGGGCATAGGACAAGAGTGAAATGGGGCAGCTGCAAGACAGGGAGAGGCAAGGATTGGCAGCACAAGGAGGAGACAGGGAAGATTTTCCTACAGGTTGCAGAGGAATCATGGCCCCGTCAGCATCTTGATTACTGATTCGTGATTTCCAGAATGGTGAATCAACACATTTTTGTTGTTTTATGCCACCTAGTTTGTGGCACTTTGCTACAAAATCTGTAAGAAACTAATATAATGACACAGGACCTCCCTGCTGACCATGTAAGTGGGAATTGCTTAGTCAGGACCTTCTGACTGACCAAAGTGAAATGGGGAGTGGGCTGGGTGTTTGGTTTGAGTTTGTCATCCTGCTATGTGAGATTACAGTTAATGTTAGATGAATTTAAAATCTATTCACTTTTAGATGATAAAAGTGTATTGTTAGCCATCAAAAGCACTATATTTTGGAGCAGTTAAAATTGCTACACCTTTATAATGAAATTTAGACTAATTTAAGCAGGATCAAGAAAACTCACCTACATAAATGTCATGAATAATGCTGTCATTTGAAATTGCTGACAGATTTCCATGTCCTGCAGATGTTTGTAGAACTCCAGTAGTAGTGAAGTTTTGATAAGAGTAGTGTATCTGATGTTTATCCCATAGTATTAATTCTGGCATTCCTGACAACAGAAAACGTGGAACTAAAAAATTGTCAATGGGGACTTGTAACAGAAAGTCTTGAGGCACCCACTGCATGGAGTCTTCATTATATATCACTATGTAAATCTTTTTGGTGTTAGCACACGTGATGCAGTAATTTAACAGCACGGCCAATTCCAGAGGGTGTCCTGTGTAGTCGATATTGTGGATTGTCAAGGTACCAGCTGGCGGAAGATTTAGAAGTGTTTTCAGTTCTGTAGTAGTTATCAGTCTGACAAATTTATTTTCAGGATATCCAAAGTAAATTTCATTTTTTGTCCAGATTGCAAAGTTGCTGATTTGGCTTAGATTCTGTGAAAAGATATTGAAAACAATGAGTAAAACCTTCAACCACAATGCCTAGTTTAAAACTTTAAAAATATCATCCACTATATAAAGGACCAAAAAGAGATGCACAGAGCTCAGATTTGTCATAAAGCAAGAATCTGAATAGTGACTATAGAGATTAAGACATAAAATATTGGCAAAAATCCTAAACTACAACATATATTGTTTTCCGGTGAATAGGTTCCCAGCAGGGCTCAGTCAGGCCCCAATCTGGGACCCAAGTCTTTGCGTTTCGGGGTTTGTGTGCACACCCAAAATCAAGAGTGTGAGAGAAGTGCATAAAAATGTCAAATTAGGAGGGCCCCTAATGTGGCCCCCAGTTTATAAACAGGTAGAACAAAAGCCAGAAAACACCAATAAGTAAGTAAGGGCCGGAAGTGGTGAATCCTTAGCATCAGGCCTGAGGTTATATTCGGATCCGGAAGAAGCTGGAGATGCAGCCTGTCTCTTAGATAATGTTGTCCTTTTTAAAAAAAATTTAAGGATCTAATTTACCCTCTTGAATACAGCTATACCTTTCCCTCTCAGAATAACCTCTATCCTAGATTCGATGATAGTGACTTTCTGATATTGAGTTTTACCTTGTCTTGTTATTTTGCAGAGTCCCCTAGCTTTTACTATTTCTTGTCTATTTAAATCTGTTAAATGCATTTTATATTCTGTCAATTCTAAAGCCTGACATCTTGCAAGGATGATTCTGGTCTTTGTTATTTCTAATGACTTCTGTGACATCTCTCTCTTTATTGGTTTGGCCATGTTTGAATATGAGCTTGGTTTTGTTATAACATTATTTTGGGACACTCTTCAAAATCTAATTTGAGAGTTTATTCTTCAAAATAAAAACAATTTGTGCCTGCTTTTGCTTGATGTTGGTCTTAATGGCTTTGTCTTCCCATATAAGCACTGTTAATTTGGGTTCCAAAGAAAGTATCAACTGGCTTCTGTTCATATATTCCAAAGAAGGCTTTTTCTTCCCTTCAAAAGTTGAAGCGGACATAGCCTTCGTTGTGTTGGGAACACTTCAAAGATCCTTGCTTCATGCAAAAAGTTCTTATGAGATTCCTTACTTTTCTCAGGCCTGAGACTCTGTCTCCTTGCATCCAAGTTCTGATTATTTGGGTTAGAGATAGGATAGAAGAAATAGTCAGAAAGGAGAATTGTAACTTTGCAATTGTACTTTTAAGTAAAACCACAGCTTCAGGACACAATTAAAGTCTCCCAAGTTTATAATTTCTTTTTCCTTTCCAGAAAACTTAACCCCCACACACAAAAATCCTAAGGGCTTTAAAGCTATAGTAAGTCTCTAAATATGGTTTATGCTTTTCACTTGCAAACTGAGCCTGAAGTTTTCTTCCCACAGACTTCTATCCTAGAGGAAGCAATGCTATTGGTAAAATATCTCTAAACTTCAAATGGTTTGCATTCTAACATAGCCCACCAATGGGGTAAACTCACAGACAGTAGAACTACATATCCTAGGTCACCCCTCTTGAGGCTGCCCTCAACATCACATAAAATACCTAACCCCAGACCATAATGTGCCTCATTTTCCTCTGCAAATGTACTTCTGTCTGCTGAGTAAACCTTGTGATGCCACTGTCTGATATTTCCTAGGATTATTTTCTGTGATGGGAGCCAGTGAACCTACAGCTATACTGTGGGTATGGGGTGAGTGGATGTCTCCATTTCTTCTTTGGAGGGAACTCCACGGACCCCCATATGATGGCAGGACGAGCCTCAAGAGTACCTGACATTGTGGAGTTTACTTGTTCTTCTAACTAGAGCTTAGGCTGCTCTTTCTTCTCCTAGAATTTCTCTTAATTCTCTACTAATCTAACAATGTAGTTTCAAAAATACTCAAAATTTTTGTGCAGTGTTTTAAGTGTTTTGTCTTAAATAGGAGATCTGGAACATTTTGGAGGGTACACAAAGTCTTTGGGGAGATTTTGCTTATATGAAAGTAAAAAAAAAAAAAAAAACCCATGATATGATTGAAACACTCTGCACAGTACTATACCAGGCTAATTTTATTATTTGCTGTTGGAGGTTCATCTTTATTATAAAGAGGACTCTGAGAAGCTGGGTCAGAAAGAGCTTTTTTACATCCTTACATAAAATAACTATGCAAAATGCTTCATAATATAGTCTCTGATATATCGCTAAATACATGGTATGGCAAACACTGCATTTAAATATATACTATATTACATATTACCACATATACATAATCTTTCACTAACCTTACTTATATATTTGATCCAACACCATCTTCTTGATGTAATACCAATAATTTCACCCTCTGGAAGATGTTGCTGTCTTCCCAGTTTGGTCAATTTTTTGTTATCATATAGGTACAGAACACCATTTATTAGAAAATATATATCATCACGCAACAGGAGCACGGCAGACACATTGTGCCTTTCAGAATCGTTCAGGCTGTTTGGAGATATCCTGACTCTGGTCCAAGTGTTGAATGAATCATTTGTTTTAAAGGTCTCCATATCAGCCACCACAACAGCTAACGAAGGAAAGCAAGCATCCCAGGACAACATTAACTGACTTCCAGTTGGTGAAGAGATGGGTACAAACTCAGGAATCTCGGGTAGGAGCCAAACGGGATAAGTCAGCAGAAAAGTAAAATCTGCAATAAAGCAATCTTGAAAAATCACTTGGTTTCCTCTGATATTCTTTATCACATCATCTCTGGTCATTGGAAGAGCAACACGCCAAGTCCTAAGGAGAGAGAGATATAAAAAGAATATAATTCATTCTCTCTCTGTCTCTGTCTCTCTCTCTCCCTTCAATCCATCTTTCAAAGCTTGCTATCTTTTAGAAAAACTTGTTTTTATCGACATAGGTCTGGAAAAAACAAATAAAATAATAACCAAGTGTTCTTTTCCTATATGAACTGAACATACAGAATTCCCCATGATATCATAGGTGAAAGCTGGGAGAAAGTACAGTAATGTGAAAAGACTGGGGATCATCTAATTTACTAATGCCTCTGGGGTCTATTCGGGCCCCAGTGCCCAAAATACATTTCCACTCAGTAGAATGTTCTGCTATTGTGGGGTAATCAGCTTATGGCTCACCAAAACAGATAACACTCAGTTCATGAAGGACAGCTTGGGTTGCACAGTAACTGGGTGGTTCAAGATCAAGCGTTCAGAGTCCCAGTATTCCAAAGTTCACAAGGCTTGTACTATGGCTTACCTATGGGGGCCGCAAAACTCTGTAAACAGTATCCCAATCTGCCACTGTCAGATCTGCTGGATCATGTAGCCTGAGTGGCAAAGCAGCTTACATAGCAGCCCAGGCCTGCAGGAGAACCTTCTTTTGTCCTGGGCCCCACACAAAACTAGCCACTTTTCAGGTCACCTGGTAAATAGCCTGAAGTAACACAACCAGAATCCAAAGAGGCCACTAGGCATTGTGCCTAAACTTGGATGTGAGATGGATCAGATGTGACTTAATCTCCTAGAAGTCCTATCTTAACATGGCCCATACCACTGGCCCCCTGGAAATTTCACTAAGTTAGATGGTCCCTGAATTTTAGGTGGATTTGTTTCACAATCTTTTTTTTTTTTTTTTGTCTTTTTTTTCATTTTTATCAGTACCGGGGATTGAACTCACGACTGCCTGCTTGCAAGGCAGGTACTTATGCCGCTGAGCACCCTTCCTTAAGAAGAGCTTAGACTCACCTTCATCAAAGGACTCTTTGGTCTACAAACTGGAGGAACTTCCAAATGAGGAAGAGCTTGCCTCCAAATATAAAGAGACCCACTGGACACTGTTTCTCTAGTAGGTTGCAAGAAGGATCAGATATAACAACTTAAGTTTCACCTTAGAAAAGATCTCTTGACATATCCCACACACTTGGACATCTGAAAATTTCAGCATGAGATAGATGATCATCTGGCTTAAATTTATTCATTATTTTTTGCAATTTTGTGCTGTTTCTTCTTAGTTTCACTTTTCTGCTTGTTGATTCAGGTCTCTGATTTTCATGTTACAGGCTTTATGTAAATGTGCTGTTTGGATGTCCAGTAACACTTAACAGAAAAGTGGCAGCAAAGTGTGGGCCAGCTTTTTTATTGAAAGATACTTCTTGCTTCTGTGTCCCACTGTGTCTTCTCATCTCAAAATACAAGCATCTCCTGGAATACATCTGTTTTCTTGTATCTTAGTTTGAAGGTCCATGTATATATTACCACTTCTGAGTGCTCCCCCAATTTGCAAATTATTCTCTTCAGTAATGTGGCCTCTTGAGGAAAGTCTTTCATAATTCCCTCTCCTCTAAACTTGAGGTGGGGAACTTTTTCATCACTGGGGAAAAATAGCCATCATCTGTCTATGCTTGACCAGATCCAGTGCAGAAGCAACATGGTGGAAGGGGGTGAGCAGAGAAAAGCTACTCACATCATGGTAAAAGCAGAGGGAGAAGGAAGAAATGGGGGGGGGTGTTGGCAGGAGATACATATTCTTACAGCCCGCACTCCCAGTGACCCACCTCTTCTGACCAGGTTCTATTTCCTAATATCACACTTAGCTTAGCAAATCACCTTCCAAAAGGTCTATACATGTGAATTTTGAGGGTTATTCCTGATATGAGCAATAACGTTCTGCCCCAATCTCCAAAAGACTCATGCACATCTCTTTATGCAAAATGCATTTAGACCACCTCTGAGTCACCAATAATTCTGACACTGCTGAAAAATCTAAGTCCAGAGGCTTCCAGTAAATATGGCAGATAAATAAGAGCAGAATACAGAGGCTCCATGAGACAGACAACTCAGATGCTGAAATAACACAGCATGGGGAGTCCTGGACAGAGGGAGGTAGATCCTCTCAACCCAGGAAGAAACTGAAGCGAAAAGAACCAGTCAAACATGCAGTCCCAGACTACTATTGAGGCAGCTAACATTCTGTGCTCTTGTGTGCCTGAATTCCCGCTGCTTTGACTCACTGGAACCACCGTTGCACTGAAGTGCAGTTGCACTGAAGTCAAAGGTCAGGGAGCCCAACAGAGAATGGGAGCCGGCAATGGACCTGCATTGACCTGTGGTGAGTGCTGGGAATAAAACCCTTCCACAGGAAAGGGGCAACTATGGGACAGCATTTTGGAATTGGGAAGGACTGGCAAGAACAAGGAACAGCAATGACTTCAGTCAGTTGTTTCCTTCCCAGATGAGATTGGTGGGGCATGGTTGGTCTGGGTCACGCCCCTGGCTGAGACCCAATAAGTTGTCCCAAACCAATTCCCTACATGCAGTGCACACTAACACAGTGAAGGCCTCAGCAGGTTGACTGACCCAGAGGGGAGGGGCCACGATACACTGCCCGTTTGTATCTCAATGGCACACAGCAGTGAGCAGGATCACCTAGCCAGCGAGCTTCAGAAGAACCATAACTAACAAGGAAAGGGACTGGGACCTCCTCTATATGCCTGTATGAAAGAAACAAAAAATACGAGAAGAGGAAGCAACAAGAAAAAAATCCCTCAGCCCCCAATCCTGAGAATATTGATCCAGGAGAGGTAAATACAAAAGAGATTGAAGACAGCAAACATGCAGTATCAGATATGGCATCAGTGGACATAAAGAAATATCTTCAGTACCTCATATACGAGTTCAAAAGTGAAATATTTAACCAAGTAAAGCAAGACATAAGTAGATTAATAAAAGACATGCTAAGCACCTCTCAAGAAGACACAGATGGAAGAATGAAGGAGCACAAAAAGAGGAGAGAAACATTTGATGAAGAATATAAAGAAAACATAGAACACATGTAGCAAGTTTAAAGAGATTACCAGGAAATAAAAAAACTCCATTGAAAGCTGGCAAAATGCCTGAAAGAAACTAAGGATAGATTATCCAAACTGGAAGGCAGGTTTGCAATGTGGGATCATGAAAAGAAAAATTTCTTAAAAATAACAAGGAAACAGGCAGTAACAATACAAAGGCTAGAAGATGACAGGAGGATCTATAACTTAAGAATAAAGAATGTGAATGAAGAAGCAGGGGTACAAACAAAGGAACTACAAAGGCTATTCATAGAAATAATTAAGGAAAACTTCCCAAGCATAGGAAAAGGAAATGATATTCAGATGTATGAGGCATACAGAACTCCAGCCACCTACAACTAAAACAGAGCTACACCCAGGCATATAATACTCAAGATCCCAGAAATTCAATATAAAAACAGAATATTAAAAGCCATCAGAGAAAAGAAGATTACTTATAAAGGAAAACCCATCAAAATCACAGCAGATTTCTTGACACAGAACATCAAATCAAGAAGAGCTTGGAGCAAGTATTCCAAGCCCTGAAGGAAAATAAACTCCTGCCCAGATTGATGTAACCTGAAAAACTGACTCTAGAAATTAATGGAGAAACAAGATGCTTACAAGACAAAGAGGAGGGGCTGGGGATTTAGCTCAGCGGCATAAGCGCCTGCCTTGCAAGCAGGCAGTCGTGAGTTCGATCCCTGGTACCGATAAAAATGAAAAAGACAAAAAAAAAAAAAAAAAAAAAAACAAGACAAAGAGGAACTGGGGGAATTCTCAACCACCAATCCAACTCTACAGAGAATACTGAAAGACATTCTAGAGAGAGAGAAGAGTACCAGTATTCCAGTGGCAGAGAGGCCTCAGTGAATGGAGCAGAAAGTAGAATGAAGAAGAAAAGCAGACAACTAATGGCAGAAAAAGAGCACAACAGAAATGAGGCAGAGAAGGTTGGCTATAATCTCTAATATAGATGGCCTTGATACAGTAAAAAAAAAAAAGAGAGAAACACAGGCAGAGTAGATCATGAGGTAGGGTCCACTGAGATGCTCTTTATAGGAAATATAATTAACCTGAAAAAGGATTTATGGACTGAAAATCAAATATGAGAAAACAATGCCCTATGTGACAGGGAACCAGAGAGTAATAGGGGCAACTAGACGAGTATTTATGGATAGGTTAGAAAGACAGGCTTTTTTTTTTATTTAAAGAAAAGGAGACAAAAGAATACATGGAGATAAAAAAACAAGGGTAGAAATAATACAAACTTACAGAAAAACAAATGGTAAGAAATTGTTGGTTGATAAGTTACACATTGTCATCTTAGAAATAGCTGTTCATGTTATAGAATTAAAGTATTTAGAATGACATTCATAAAGTGACACTACAAACCGTTCTGCTCTATGATCGAACAAAAGCTCAGTAATATGGTTATCAGTCCTACACATTTGTTTTACATCTCAAAGAGGGTAAGATTAAACATATCAAAACAGAACAAAGCAGTTAAAAAAACAATTTAAAGAAATACAGATTTAAAGACAGGCTTTAATAGGTAAAGAAATACAACCAGAGATCAAGTCCAGGAGGGAGAAGGTTCGGAACCACTTAGATAAATAGCAGATTGCCCCCCAATCTAAAAACTGAGGGTGTTGGCGAGACCCAAATTGTACAGTGCACCCTGGGGGACTGAAAGGGGAGGAACAGTCTTTTAAAAGACAGCAGAAGATATTGTTAATAGTGTATCAGGATTTAAATCCCACATTACTTGCACTGCTCTGCTTAGATAGATTTTATTCTGTCCCAGTTTGTCTACTTGCACTAGATCTGAGTGCACAGAAAGCTATCCCCAAAATAACCAGATATAGTACAGTAATCATCTTTAATTTCCTTTTAACTTAATCTGGTGCCCTGTATAACTTATACTGTTTTATCATGACTGATCTTAGTTAAATCTGGTTTGTTTGATTGCTGTTTGGTATCTACAGATTTTATTCAGAATTGTTATGATTGATAGTATCAAGTCTGAGAGTATAGGCAACTACACTGAAGATGACAAGATTCACTATGATACCCATTCTGGTTTGTTTAAGTTTTACACTATCTACAAAGTTTCATTTTTATTAATAATGTTATATACTGCTATATTCAGTTATACTATGTCTGATGATATAGACAATTCTATTGAAGATAACAAGAGACAACACAGTAACCATGGTAGAACTCCTTATACAGTGGTTTTATATGTCTTTTTTTGTTTCATGTTTATCGGAATATGTTTTGTTTTGTCTTATTTTGTTTTGCTTCTCCCTCTAATATAAAAGGATAGAAATACATGTTAAGACTCATGCATGCATAGAACCTATAAACAGTTTACAAGAACTGATCTTATAATACATGATGAAATGAACAAATACTTTGAAGAAAAAGAGACAGTACAGTGTCCAATGTTGATCCCATAGTGTCATGATGTGAAATCCAGCAGTACTATTATTCTTTGTTCAGAGTGATTTTAACCTGCTTTGGTTTGCTTAATCTCAACATAAAAGAAGATATGGATAACTGCATGTATGTTTAAGAGTATAGGATTGATAACCATATTACTAAGTTTTTGATGGATAGTTGAACAGAACTGTTTGCGGTCTTGCTATTTGAATTCCCACTTTGTATGTTTCACTTTTGTATCTTGAACAACTATTTATAAGAGGATAATATGTAATCATCAAATAATGATTTCTTACTGTTTATTTTTTCTTTGAAAGTATGTATTATTTCTACCCATTTTCTGTTTTATTTAGTCTTTCTTTAAATAAAATTAAAAAAAGAAAAGTATAAGTCCAAAGTTTCCTCTGAGACTCAAATCAAACTATTAGCTGTAAGCCCCTACACATGTCAAAGAGAAAATTAAACAATTATGAAATACTACAGCACAGGATAAATGTTTCTATTTCAACAGGGTGGAATAGGGGGACAGGAAAAAATCAGATCAAAACAAGACAAAAATCCAGCAAGTCAAACAATAAATTCTGTAGCTCTATGTTTAGTACCTGGGACAAATTTCAGTGAGATATAAGCTACAAAGGATTTGGGAAGCTGCCTTTATGGAAATACTGGTTACAGACTCACGGATATTGTCTTGGGTGGCTCTGCTATCTGTCTTTATCCATAGCTGACATTACACATTCATGGCATTTCCAGTGTCCTGGGGTTTTTATTCCACTTTTGTCTTTACTCTTGTATCAGCTACCCTCTAAGGCCTTCAAGACCTTCTTCTGAAATATGAGTAGACAACACTTGCATTCTGCCTGCCAGTAAAATCAGCACTTCATGGATGATGCTAAGTTCTCTACCAACTCAAGCAGTATCCAAGCCCCCTTGGATCACAGCTGCAGAGGCCACTGACTGCCTGCATGGCTAAGCATCGTAAACCAAATCCTGGGGAACCAGTTCCCTAGGTAGCCCTTCTCAAGCAGAATACCCTGGTCTCCCCCCTCAAATGAAAGCTTTACAGCTTGTACCTTGGAGCCTTTCAAGGGTAGCATATTGAAGATTTCTGAGATGTCTTCAGAGTACTTTTCCTATTATCCTGATGCAACATACTTGTCTTCTTTTCAATGCTAAGATTTTCAGCAACCAAGCTGTCCTGGGACAAAATTTTACAAGTCCCAAATTTACAGGGACTTTCTTTCTGACCACCAGCACAATCCTTAAAAATATTTAGCTATGATTTTTGGTCCTAATTCTCATGGTAGATATAGCCTAAAGTTGCCAGCAGTGCTCAGGCCACAGCCTCAACTTTGGGCTACCTTGATATTTCCTTAGCTAGATTAATTAGTCTACAACTTTTAACCTAAGTCTCTTGCAAATTATCAGGTCATGAGTAAAATGTAGACAAATCATTTACCAAAACATCACACACATGGTCTTGAGTCCAGCTGACAATGTAGTGCTTGTTCCAAACTGAAACCTCCTGAACTTGGCCATTATTGTGTGCATTATATGAGAATTCTGATCTTCTGGGTTCCAACTAGCATCTCCTGTTAAGCATGGCTTACATCATCTAGGCCCTTCCTAGCAGGTATCTCCAAACTTTTACAAACCCATTCCATAAATGGTTCTCAAGGCTGCTAAACCACATGGTCAGATAGTTGAAGCAATGATCCCACATCTCTGGTAGCAAAATCTGTTATGGTTAGTCACTGTCTCATTGTTGTGACAAAATATCTGACACCTACAATTTAAATAAGGCTTATTTTGGCTTACATTTCAAGAGCTTCTCCATTTGCTGCTTTCCCTCATAAAATGCTGTTATGAACCATATCTAGATGCCCCTCAAAGCCTCATGCATTCATAGGTAGGGCTTTTTGGAATAATCATGGATGTATGATACTGGATGGGTCTGCTGATTGGTTTAACATAATTCTGGGTGTGGATGATGGATTTACTGAATAAGGAAGACACCCCTGGATGTGGGTAGCACCAAACAATAGGCTTGTAGCATGAAGAGAATAAAAAAGGAAAGAAGAAGGAAGTTTCACAGCCTCTATCTGCCATGCCATTGAACTGTTTCGTCTTTGCCATGCTCATCTGCCGTGCTGCTCTGCCTTATAACCAGCTGACTGTGGACTAAAACCTCTACAAACTGTGAGCTAAAACAAACCTCTCCTCCTTTAACTCACTGGTGTTGGGTACTCTATTCCAGTAACAAGAAATCAACTAAGACAACTGCAATGTCATTTAAGACAGCAATTGCATCCTTTTTATTTATAAGTACCTTGCCCCAGGTCTACATGCTTAATGGATTTCTTAAGTTTATTTATACTTCATGGTAATTTAATAATTTTAACAGTATTAGACTGTTACTTCTCAGGTAAAATTTTGGTGTGTGTGTGTGTGTGTATGCGTGTGTATTGCAACATTCATTACTAAGGTGCTTCATTGTCATGAACCAGCAGAAAATATTTGGAGATATTGCCAGAATTTGCCACCATACTGAATGAAGCTTTTGGATTGAGATTTTTAGCACAAGTTGTGAAACTATGCTAGAAGTGACTAGCATTTTCTGAGATGATAATTTTTTATATCATAAAAAGTTCCTTGGAAAGTACATAAAAGACATGTCCCATAAAATTCTACTAGAGTTTTATAACCTATTTTAAGATGTTGATTTTTTAATGTTAAAGCTTAATTTTATATGTAAACTTTTAAAATCAAGTACCAGTTTATCAGTCTGTCATCTGGAATATACGTTTTCCTTCTAATTGTTGTATGTATGGTAGGCTTCTGTCCCATAATGGCAAAATGGTTGGTTAGTATTCTGGAGTGCTGTAAAAATAAAATGAAATTTCTTTTGTTATTCTTTTCACAGTCATAAGTATTTTGAAACTAAATCATTAAGACATTATTTACATTTACAGATTTTCCATACTTTCAAGATTGAGACATTTTAAAACTATCTAACCTCCTCTTCATTAGAACTTTATGAATTATATATGTCAGTTTCCAACAGGCCAAAACATCATGTGTAACCAGAATCCTATGTGAACTGTGACCATGAGAAAAAATATACAACCCTAAGCTTTATTCTCAATACCTAATACACTTTATAAGGACAATGCGTTAGAATTCTTTCTATAAAATTCTTGTCTTTAAGAGGACATATTCTTTCAAGGAAGCTTTCATATGAAATCTGGAGGAACTAAGAAAAAGTTCCTTTACAATTCAGATGCAAGAAACTAGTCCTCAGCATCCAGGCCCAGTTCCTTGCAGGCATGAAGCCTGCATATGGGCATGTTTCAAGTTCCAGATGAGGAGTCAGCAATTGCTGAGATCTCATTTGGGGAAATAATTTCCTGGGTATACTCTGCAAATAATGAGAAATGACTAAATTTTCCATTTGCCTAACTGCTTGTTCTCTTGCCTACACTGAATAAAAGCAAGGTGAGCCACCTGTTCAGGACTCTTCTGTCCACTAGAGAGCTAGGAGCCCCTGAACCCTTCTTTCAATCTCAGTGTCTTGTTTTTTAATCTCCATTAATTCCCACTGGTTAGGCTTCCTATCAGTTGGTTTTCTGCATTCAGTTATTCCCTCTCTTTCTTGGGATATCAGAAGAAGTTGGATATAACTGGATTTCTCCTATGAAGGTATATGCTGTGGCTTATATCTAAGTGTTCCCCCAGTGCCTCATGGAATAAGAGGTGAGGCTTTTCAGAGGTGTGTGATACCAGTTCGTGGGTGTGTGATACTGAATTAGCCCACTGATAAGTTGATAGCTGGGTGGAATGTTGGGGCATGAAGCCTGATGGGAAGAGTGGATCACTGTGGGCATGGACTGAAAGGAGATATATGCCCCCTACCTTGATGGCTCCTTCTGCCTGCCATGCCATGAGCTATTTCTTCTCTGCCATGCCTCTGCCATGCTGCCCTTCCTTGGAGCTTGCTGACTATGGAGTAAAACCTCTATAAACTATGAAGCAAAATAAACCTTTCTTCCTTTAAGTTGTGAGTGTTGGGTATTGTGTCTTAGCAATGAGAAAGTAACTAAGTCAGTTTATTTTAAATAAAGGCAGTTGTTTTATGATAGGGAATGTTTTGAATAAAAACTCAGATAGTAAGAGCCAGTCTGAAATTCCTTATCTTCCTTCTGTCTGAGTTTTCCAACACTGCTCTTGTTTAATTCCAGAGAAATATGCATGTCAACCACCTACAAAGAAGACTTTGAGAGTACTGGGATGCACGGTGGAAAGGGTATAGGTTCGGGGGATGCAGGACTAACCTAGAAGGAGAACCTAACCTATTTGGGGGAGTAAGGAATACTGGTTCAGGAAGGCCTCCCTAAGGAATGCATGTCTAACAAAATACAGGTTTGCCTAATTGTTAATAAATTATAGATATCTTAATTTTGTTTCTGAAAACCATATTCACTTTTTAGAGTTTTCAGCACAAATCCCTTTCCTGTTAAGTACCAAAGCACTCCATAGAGTGGAGAGTAAGATAAAAGTAAAATGTAAGAAATAGTGCAATCTTATAGAAAAAAGCTTTTGAAAGAGTTGAGATAATCATGTAAACAAGCTTTAAAGCACACTTCTTCCATTAGGAAGGTAATTCATGGCCATTAAAGATAATTTGCTCCATACAGAAAATACTGAAGAACTGACAGTGATGGCTGATCAAGGGGCAACAGACAGGATGAGTGTCTCTGAGTCTGCACTGAAGACAAGCAGGGGGCTGAGGCAGGGTTGAAAGATCAAGTCTGATATGGGAGGACAAATGCAAAGATAATCCAACTGGTCAGAGGATGAGTGAAGGGAAACTACCACTCCTGGATCATAGTACCCCAAGCCCCACCCTAGACCCAGCCTGCACACCATCTTGGGAAGTGATTGGACTGGGAGAGAGAGCATGCCAGCCATTCAGCCGTGGTCTGGCAGACTGAATAGGCTCACAGCCACACTGTCCTCCCCACTGGGTGCAGCGAAACAAGACATTTCCGACCTAGGAACTGAAGGAAGCGGAAAACAAAATTGGGAAGGATTTAATTGCCGCACACCCATGCCCCCACTTCCAGGACTGGCAGGTGGAGCTCCAGGGCTAGCAGGGGGTTTTCCAGTGCAAACAGTGGGACACCAGGGGAGGAGGAGTTTTCCCCATTAGTACAATATTTCATGCTTATATCTTATACTCTGAGTAACTGCTATGAAGATAACATAGTACCACGATGATGATGACAATAATGAACCACCTATTCCTCTCACATACAACGGGAGTGCTGTATGTGGAACATTCCACACACTAACCTCAACTGTTGGTGGGCTGCCACAGAGCAGCCCCCAGAACTCCCAGCTGAGAATGACCAAAGGAAAGGAGCATCAGTTTTGTAACAGTTACATGAGCAGAAACCGACAGATATTTGCAGTCAGAGAGGCAAGAGTGTGGCACATGGACCAGTGGCTTTTTGTTTGTAAAATAGACAAGGACAACCTGGGGAGGGAAGAGAGACACATCCACAATATCTACCATCCCTAAAGTAATCAGATTCACACGACTTCTGCAGGCAGACATGCTCAGAGCTCTAAACCAGGACACAAGGTAGGAGGGAGCAACAGTTTTCAAGCCTTCAGACATGCAATTGTCTGGCCCACAGGATACTCAAAACTAGACAGTGATGCCAGTAGAAAGGGAGCTGGGTGGAAGCTCCCGGTTAACGCTATACCCACTGTGTGAAGGTTTTTCTCTTATTTGGTTGTCATTTTGGTAATTGTAGTTATTGTAACACTGCTACTTTCTTGGACTTAGGTTTTCATGGTTGATTTTTTCTTTCTGTTCCTTGTTGCTATTTTTTTCTTCTTTTTTTTTTGGGTTCTTCTTGATTGGTATGGATCATTACACTATAAGTTTCAAGGGCTTCCCTCTTTGACCTGTTCCCTCTTTCAGCGTTCCTTCTCTCCTATGTTTCAGCAATCACCTCCTTTATCTTTGCGTTCTTCTATTTCTCATTATTTGGCTTCCTTACATTCCCCTTTCTTTTTTTTTAAGAGAAGAGAAGAAAAATAGTAATAAAATAGAACTTCACACCTGGCTAATGGGAGAGTAACAATAATTAATACATTGTATATTGTTACCTTCATAGTAATTACTCAGAGTATAAGATATAAGCATGAAATATTGTCCAAATAATATTAATATCAATCTTTCTTTTCAATGAAGAGAAACTAGCTGTATAACTACCTTAACTATCTTGGATATATGTATTTTTCCCTTTTTTTCCTTCCTTTTCCTTTCCCCCATCTATTTCTCTTTTCTTTTGAACAATTTCTTATCAATTAACACTATCCATTGTACATTTTGGACCTTATTTACTCATTCAGCTTTTCACACTTGTGAGACAATACTTTGTTTACACATACGGGTCTGATTTATTCCATTTGAACTGCATCCGTTTACCTATAAAAGTCTTAAGCTTATACTTCTTTAGGGATGAGTAGTACTCCATTATAAAAAAAACCCACATCTTTGTTATCCTTGCCTCAACTGATAGGCATTTGGGTTGTTTCCAAGATTTAGCTATTATGAATCATTCTGCCATAAACATGGGTGCACATATATCACTGTGGTGTGATGCTCTTAATTCTTCTGGGAAGATACCCAGAAGGTGCATAGATGGGTGGAATGGGATCTCTAATCTGAGTTTTCAAAGGAATCTCCACACTGATTTCCACAGTGGCTGTACCTTCTACACTCCTATTAACAATGGAGATGCCTTCTGTTCACCATTTATCTAATGGCATAAATGTAACAGGGAACTGTGTAATTAGAGAATAAGAATTGATCAGTGCTATAAATTAAACAGTATCACTTAGGACATGTCAGAGTAGTCCTAAACAAAACTGGTCTTATGAGATCCAAATTACTTATAAACGTATTAATAGGCACCAACAATTTCAACTTTCTTCAGTGTCTACATTTCTACCCATCTGCATTTAAAGACTAAAAATCAAAGGCTGAAACAATATTCCTTGCACCAGGATCCTGAAAGTAAGCAGGGATAGCAATTTCATTCTCAGAAAGTAAACTTCAAGATAAACCTGATTAGAAGAGACAAAGTTAGCTAAGGGAACAATTCAACAAGAAGAGATAATGATTGTTAATAAAATACTGGGGCATCTAATTTCATAAAACAAATACTTCAGGACATAAGATATCAAATAAACATCAACACAGTCATAGTAGAGGACCTCATTACCCTGTTTTTGCAGAGATATATCAACTAAAAAAATTGGACTGGGAGAGAGAGCATGCCAGCCGTTCAGCCGTAACACAGAAATGTTACTGCTGAAATATAGCTTCAAACAAATGGACTTACTGTATATCTACAGTGTGTTTTCCCCTACTACAACAGAAGACACATTCTCAACAGTACATAGAATTTTCACCAAAGTGGGCCCCATACTAGCTCACATAGCCTGATTAAGTAAATAGAAAAGAATTAAAATCATTCTGTGGATCCTATCAGATAACAGTGTACTGAAATTAGAAATCAATTGCAAAAGAAACCACAGACATTTTACTCACAAAAGGATATTAAATAACACACTCCTGAACACTCAGTGGGTCATAGGAGAAATCAAGGAAGAAATTAAATGGTTCCTAGAATCAAATGATGATGTCAATATGACATACCAGAATCTATGGGGAACAGTGAAAGCAGACTAAAGATGGAAATGCATTGCCGTAAATACTTATATTAGAAAAATAGAAAAAAAGAAGAAAAACAGAGCAAACTCAAGTCATCTAATAATGCACCTCAAGAAATTAGAACAAGAATA